CGGATCCAAGGGATCAAAACATCAGGGACTTCACCCTTGGTGCGCAAGGGGAAGACTGTGGTGTAGCGCGAGTAGTCATCAACAACTATCAAGAAGTACCTCTCGTGACCCTGTCCACGGACGCGGGCTGGGCCCCACACGTCCATGTGGAGCGTCTGCAGGGGAGCATTTGTTGGGGGAAACGAGGAGGAGTGAGGAGTGGCGCGCTGCTGCCCCTCGGCACAGGGAAGACAGGGAGGAGCAGGCGAGGGTGGGAAGGGAGGGAGAACCCTGGGAAGACCAGGGACAAGGTACCGGGAGTGCATGCCACGAAGGCGCTGCATTGACGGGTGACCAAGGCGGTGGTGCCAGAGGACGGTCTTGTGCGCCAGGGAGCGACACGAGTAGGGGGCCGACAGCTGACCTGACGCAGACGCAGCTACCTGAGGGGACGTAGTGGTCAGTGTGTACAGGTTTGACCCCGACTGCCAAGTGAAGGTAGCCAGGTGGCGATTCGTCCGAGCGCACGTGCAGTGTGTCACGCCCTCATAGGCAGGGGTGAACTGGTGGACACCCCCGTCCTAGAGCGCACTACCCGCCACCAAGTTCGTAGAGAACGAGGGGAGGTAGAGACCTGACAGTGTCCCCGACGGGAACGCAGGACAAGGGAGGACAGTGGAGGAGGTCGCAATGACCGGACCCTTAGAGGGGTCAGCGAGGGAGACTGCGATTGGCCGAGCAAGCTGCTCAAGGGCAGTGTGGTCACGAAAGAAACAACGGGAAGCACCTGAGTCCAGTGTGAAGGTGTGCAGTGCCTCTGTAGACGCAGTACCAGAGGGCGCAGACTCACGAGTACCTAGAGCAGCAGTCTCACCAGTACCTGGGGCAACAGACGCACTAGCACCTAGAGTGGCAGCCTCATCAGCACCTGAGGCAACAGACACATAAGCACCTAGTGCGGCAGCCTCACCAGTACCTAGAGCAGCAGACTGGATACCGGGGTCAGGCGGCACACACAGGTGACAGGCACTCTCAGCACTAGTAGACAATGCATACATGGCATTGAGGATAGCAACATAGTCAAGAGCATAGATATCTACCGTTTGCCTAAGCAGCTCCAGCCAGGAGGGGAGCTCAGCGTCGTTGCCAAACTCTGTACGCCAAGTGTCGCTCAGACGGGCGAAGCAGTGGGACTCTGTGTGACCACGTGTCCCGCAAGGCTGACCAGTCCGGGCACCCGTGCTAATAACGTACGGGCAGTGAGCAGTACTCAGCGACCCTCTACTCTGAGCGTACCACTCACGAAGCTGCTGGGGCGAAAGAGGCTCGTGCGGACGACGCTGCTGCTGCACCGGGCCACTACAAGAAGCTCCCGAACTACCTACTCCAGTACGACTCCCACTACTGCCACCCCGACAACCCCAACTGGCGTACCACTCACGAAGCTGCTGGGGCGTGAGGGACACACGTTGATGACCGTGGGGCTGCATCTGGCTACGCCAGGAGCAGCAGGAGCAGCAGTAGCAGTAGTAGCGGCAGTAGCAGCAGGAGCAGTAAAAATAGGAGCAGTAGTAGTAGCAGGAGCTGTACGAGCAGGGCAGTGCTCACCAGTGGTGGGAAGGGCAGGCGCAAGACGGCGGCGACAGCGGGGCCGCTACAGTTGTAGGGCGGGGCCAGGCCGCGGCAGGGAGCTCCGCGGCAGCTGCTGCAGGGCGGGGCCGGGCCGCGACGGCAGCTGCTCTAGGGGCCAGGGGCGGCTCCCGCAGTGGCGGCTGCTCCAGGTGGCCAGGGGCGGCTGCTGTAGGGGCGGTTGCTCCAGGGTCCAGGGGCGGCTGTAGGTGCGGCTGCTCCAGGGGCCAGGGGCGGCCGCTGCAGTGGCGGCTGCTCCAGGGGCCAGGGGCCGCCGTCCCAAGGGCGGGCGTGGGGTAGGGCAGGGCGCCGCGGCGAGCAGAGGCGACTGCAGTAGTGAACAGTAGTAGCAGCGCGACTCGGCTGGGGCGACGCGATGGGCTGGGGCAGCCCGCAAGGGCGACGCGACGGGCTAGGGCGACGCGACGGGCTAGGGCAGCCCGCAAGGGCGACGCGACGGGCTAAGGCAGCCCGCAGGGGCGACGCGACGGGCTAAGGCGGCCTGCAGGGGCGACGCAATGGGCTAAGGCAGCCCGCAGGGGCGACGCGACAGGATAGGGCAGCCCGCAAGGGCGACGCGACGGGCTGGGACAGCCTGCATGGGCGACGCGACGGGCTAGAGCAGCCCGCAAGGGCGACGCGTCGGGCTAAGGCAGCCCGTAGGGGCGACGCGATGGGCTAGGGCAGCCCGGAAGGGCGACGCGACCTGCTAAGGCAGCCCGCAGGGGCGACGCGACGGGCTAAGGCAGCCCGCGGGGGCGACGCGACTGGCTAGGGCAGCTCGCTAGGGCAACGCGACGGGCTAGGGCAGCCCGCTAGGGCGACGCGACGAGCTAGAGCAGCCCGCAGGGGCGACGCGACAGGCTAGGGCAGCCCGCAAGGGCGACGCGACGGGCTGGGGCAGCTGCGCGTGCGGCTGTGCGGGCGGCTGCGCGTGCGGCTGCGCGACCAGCTGCGCGTGCGGCTGACAGGCGGCGCGCGCGGCTGTCCTAGGGCGCACGACGGCGCTAGTAGGGGTGCTTGACGGTGCTAGAAGCGGCGCTCGACGGCGCTAGAGGGGGCGCTCGACCGCGCAAGAAGGGGCGCTCGACGGCGCTAGTAGGGGCGCTCGACGGCACAAGAAGGGGCACTCGACGGCGCTAGTAGGGGCGCTCGACGGCGCTATTAGGGGCGCTCGACGGCGCAAGAAGGGGCGCTCGACGGCGCGGCGGAACGGTGGGCCCAAACCAACGTTGGTCCTAGGTCCTGACCTAGGCGTCGGATACCATATTAGAATCTAGATGTGAACGAGAACGATGAAACTAGGCAGCAGGGTGATACAAGTAGGCAGCCCTAACAATGTTGTACCCCCTAAGGCTAGACCCACTATAGCCTACATAATATAAACATATATAATGTTTGACACGCACGTGTCGCGAATCTGAGCCAATTGATTTTCATTCCTACACATCTCGATAACCAATGAGAGCAATCTCCGAACTGAATTTCTCCAAGCACTTGACCAATCGATTGAGTTTCCGAGCCAAACAAAACTGTTATGGTGATTGGTTCTTGAAGTGTTGGGAGAGTTGAACGCGCGGTCTGCGTGAAAAGTAGAATGAGGCGTAACCTCGAACATACTTTCCGAAACCTTACCCCAAAGTTACTCTCCAAGTTACTTCGAACCTACATTTGCCCCCCTGTTTTTTTCGGATGTCCCTCCACGTTCGCCGCGTTCACTGTAAGCACAACCGTCTTCGCTGTTTTCCTTTCCTCGTTCCTAGTACACGAGACAGCGTCATCCTAATAGCAGTGTCTTGGGTTATAGGATGCATCCCATCCTTAGCTCCCTCATGAGCACTCTCCTTCGTTGGTGCATGGAAAAGGGGAGGTCTTGGTAGAGTGGCGGAGCTCGAGGGAGAGAACCGGCGGTAGGGCAAAGGTGGTAGAAGGTTGGAGAACGTGAGAGGGAGAAGGGCGCCGAGGAACGAGGGAATAGGAAAGGGCGGTGCATTAGAGATGTAAGAAAATGGGAAGGAAAGGGAGGAGACTAAGGGATAGTGAGATGCCGAGGTTTAGGGGAGAGGCGGATGGAGAATGACGACCGAAGAAAAGGGCTTTGGAGTTTAGTCACTCTGGATGTAGACGGGCGATGAATGAGGCCGGCTAGTTAAAAGTAGAGAATAGAAGCAGGTGGCGTGTTGGCGTGCGAGCAATGAGGAAGCTTGGACCTTGTGTTAGCGGTTCCTAAGCTTGGATATGAACAAGTTTGGTTTTTGTTTGTGGTGTCATTTTTTTTTTTTTTTTTTTTCCAAGTATTCCTTTGCATGCTTTGGGCCCTTCCTAGACACTAAGCAGCCTGGAGGTGTTGCACGTGGCCTGGGCATCTCAGGCGTTTGATCTCTCTGTCGCCCCAGCGACTGTATGTAATAGCCTGTGTGGCTTTGCAGCTTATCAATGGGCAACTATATGTCCCCTAGCTTCTTGGCGATAGTTTCCTGGTTATCCTCTTTCACAGCTATTATGCTTGACTGAGATAAATGTAATATGAGATGCGGGTTATTCTCCCTTGGGTCCAACCAGGGCCTTCGAATCTTCCATGACCATCCATGACCACGAGATTCCTTGACCACCTACTTCGCCTGTTCTATAACTTCTCTTTGACGGTCGTCCTTCCGTGCTCCGTGTGCCTTCTTGGTCTCTCTACGACTAGAGCGGACAGTACGACAAATGTGCTTGGGGCTGTGCCGTGTTAGTAAAGCTGTGCCCTTTTGGACAGGAAGTGTCCCTTTGACCCACCAACCAAGCAATGTTCCTCCTTCCCCTGACGTCGTGGGTTGAACCTCCCCCCTGGTAGACCTATACTGTGATTAACCTACCATGTGGTTAACCTACCATGTGGTTAACCTACCATGTGGTTAACCTACCATGTGGTTAGCCTACCATGTGGTTAACCTACCATGCGGTTAACCTACCATGGGGTTAACCTACCATGCGGTTAACCTACCATGTGGTTAACCTACCATGTGGTTAACCTACCATGTGGTTAGCCTACCATGTGGTTAACCTACCATGTGGTTAACCTACCATGTGGTTAACCTACCATGTGGTTAACCTACCATGTGGTTAACCCACCCGCGGTTAACCTATCACATGGTTAACCTTTTACGTGGTTAACCTATCACGTGGGTAACCTATTGTTTAGTTCACCTATCTATTCTGTAGTTAACCTATTCTGTGGTGAACTTATTACGTGGTTAACTGATCATGTGAATAACATAGCCATTCTTGCATAACCATATATTGTCTCTCCTATCGATTTGCTCCTTCTTTCTGCATCTTGCTTTCAAATGCATCCGCTTCTTAGGGTCTTTATTCCCTCCACTTTCATCCAGTCTACTGTTTCCTTACTCATGTCCACTTTTCAGGATAAAGGCTTACTTTGCCTGAACGTTTCGTGGGTTGAGTGTGCATCGAGACGATGGCTGGCTGTGAAAAGGGAGGCAAATGAGCATAGCACGGCAGTTAGTGGGGTGTTTGCAGCAGTGAGATGGGAACTAGCCTCAGTGAAGGGGAAGGTTGCAGAAATTGAGGGGGAGGTGGCAGAGGTTAAGGGGGATGTTGCAGAAATCGAGGGGGATGTTGCAGAGGTGAAGGGGGAGGTGGAAGAGGTGAAGGAGGAAGTGGCAGAGGTGAAGGAAAAGATGGCAGAAGTAAAGGGGGAGCTGGCAGCAGCAGTGATGGAGAAGAGGTGGGTTGTGCAGAATGAGGTGAATGAGGTGAGGCAATGGACGTTGACATTCATGTGATCCTACTTCTCTCACTACCTGTCGGCATTCTCGTGACCCCCATGCCCGAATGCACCATTTTTCTTCATCGCTTCTTCTCCTCCTGTGCACTCAGTGTGCAAATGTCTACCTGCCTCTGCAGCTGCCGCTTCCCCCTTCCTTCCCCCCTTGCTGCCGCTTGTTCCACCCGTCCCTGATGTTGCTGCTTGTCCCCCCCCTCCCCCCGTCTGCATGCTGCCTTACATTCTTTCTACCATCTTGTTGTTTCAATTGTCGTTCTTGCAAATCAAATTTCATGACTATGTGCTCCATCTGTCTCCTCATGTGCACTCAGTACAGCACCTGTCTCACATTTCCTGCCACCTCCCCCCTCCTTCCCCTGGTCCTGCTGCCCCCTTCCCTTGCACTTGCCCTGCCGCACCTCAATGTGCAGCCGCACGCCTTGCATAGTCATGCCTCGGAGGACTGCAGTGGCCATGCTGCTGCTGGCTTTCCTCCTTGGCGCTGCCATCGTGTATTTTGGGTGAGGGGACGTGTTGGTAAGGTATGTCTAGGAACTACCTATCAGATTTATTTGCTTAGAAACTGTAAACCCTAAATGATGAGCGCTAGAGCTAAACGTGGCGGCGATTGGGTTGGGTTTTGGTTTGGTTTGCAGTTGTGGGTTGGGGAGTTGTCGGTATGGGTTGGGTGGGGCTGCCTTATACATTTGCCTTTGTGATTAAGATATGGGGCCGAGATTATGACCTGCAAACTTATAACAGATTTATTTGGGTCAGCCCAAAAGTTTTTCTCCAAGCGTCCAGCATCAGAACGTGCGTCTAGAGTGTTGGGGCAAGCAACTGGAGTTTTGACGCTTGACGCTTGATGTCAGAGCCTCAGAGCGACATGTCCAACATAGGTATGCCTTCACATCTGCACGTTCTCCCACACGGTTGACACTATCATCAGCATGTCTCAATCGTTAGGACGTTCAGCTTATTTCCACCTACGCCCCCCCTCTCGACTTACCCATCCTCCTATTGCCCCATTCTCATCTTCTCCCCCTAACCTTCTGTCTGCCCATTCCATGTGTGCTGTCATGTGTGTGTTCCCACGTACTGGCATGTGCAGAAAGAATCCCGGGTCACAGATGGAGAGGGAAGTGGGAGCAGTGAAGTGGGAGCTGGCTCAACATAAGGGTGCAATCAAGGGGCTGAAGGATGCGATGAAGAAGATGCATGTTGAACTGCAAATTGCCAGAGTAGTGGCAGTCATAAGATTGCATGGGAGGTAAGCATATGTTCTAAAAGGCATCCATTGTCTCACAAGGCGTGCACTATTCAATTATTCTTTATCGTCCCTCCTTAATCTATTCCTCCCCTATCCACTCCCGCCAGCGAATCAAGGCAGCATCACACGCGACTGATCTGAGCCTTGGCAATCTGAACGGCCTCTCAGACGGCATCCTTCACCATGTGGCTGAAATGACGCATCTGAAGAGCATCGACTTGCATTACGAACCAGGCTTCTTTTGGTGGATGTCGTCCTCAGGCCTCAGTGCAGAGGGCATCACGCACCTCTTCAGGCTGACACAGCTTGAGAAGCTAGACCTCAGAGGCACAAGCATAACAGTCAGTGCCTTAGAAGGCATTGGGTCCTTGACCAATCTGAGAAGCCTCTTTCTTGATCGAACCAAGGTGACCGATGCTGGTCTGACATTCTTGACACGCCTTCCTTCGCTCAGAATCTTGAGCCTTACGGGATGCAAAGATGTGACGACTGCTGGCATGGTGCATCTGGAAAGGCTGACAGGGCTTCTGAGTCTTTGGCTGGATGGCACGGGAGTCACGGATGATGGGCTAAAGCAGCTGGCTGGCCTCACCAACCTGAGACAACTCTTTCATCCAGGTGGAAATTGGAGGCAGTTAGCTGGGTAGTTTGGCAGGGTGTGATGTGTCAAAATATATTTTATATCTTTTATAACTGCTTGTAGTTGTAGTGTAGGTATTATATTTTGTAGGTCGTGCACCTTCTTTCCTTGCATGTTCTTTCCTATTTGTACCCTTGCTCAATATTGAATCATCCTCTTTGGCCAAACTTCCTTCGATCCTACCCTCGTTACTCTCGTCTCCTACCTTAGCTATGGCTCCTAAGTTCTGAGCGTATGCTAGCTGTTTTAACATGGTTTCAGAGCAACTACCGTAATCACCCGGACAAAGCACCCCCCCGTAATAGTACACCCCCAGGTAGCTTGTGCGGGGGGGGTGCTATAGCCGACCTTGTTTGTACTATACCCCCCCATTTTGGGGTGATTCTCTATAACACCCCCCTTTTCTTACGAAACCCTATTATAGCTGTTATCGAGTCAGATTTTTTTCGGGAGGATATGACGAAAATCGCTTCCTGAATGAAATTTCGAGTGCACTTTCACTTCGAATCTACCAAGATTCCCTCCCTTCCACAATCTCGCTGTCGCCATGCTGGCGAATCTTCCGCTGCACGTGGCCCGAGAGGTGAAACTCACATTCTTGCCAAAACTCGAATCCTCGCCTCAACCTGTGATGTTAAAACGACTATTGAAACACCCAAATTGTCTAAAAAAAAAATTCTTACACTAAAAATTGCCATATATAACCACCCGGGAATTATATAGGATTTTCCGTTGAGAGGACCCCCCCCCCCCACCCTCTTTTTTCCTTGTGGTTATCATAATACCCCCGGGTGTTATGTCCGGGTGATTACGGTAAGCTCCTTGACCTACTTTTTCATGGGCCCACCACTAGCCATGGCGCTCCCCGTCGCGTTTCACGTCGCCGCACCCGTCGCGCCCGTTGAGGCGCTCGTCAAAGCGCTCAGCCTGACGACCGCGATGACCGTGAAGGTGAGCCCCGTACGGCGCCCCGCTTCCCGTCGTGCTGCTGCCCTGCTCCCCGCCACGCTTCCCACAGCTGCGGGCGCCCTGCATCTCGTCGCAGCTGGCGCCCTGCATCCCGTCTTCGCGGGCGCCCTACTTCCCGTCGCCGCGGTGCCCTGCTTTCCGTCGCCGCGGCGCCCTGCGTCCTGTCACGCTCGGTTCCCTGGTTCCCGTCGCCGCGGCGTCTGCTGTGGGAGGAGGTGGCGAGGGGAAAAGGGAAAGGGGGGGGCGTGGGTGGTTGACGCAGGTCCGCGCGCTGCTGCGTCACACCGCTATTCCACCGCTCGCCTTCCCCTCCCTCTCCCTGTTGCGCGTGCAGCAGTGGAGGGTGTGGGGGTGGCGGGTGTGAGCAACCTGCTGCCGCCCCTCCTCCTCTCTCTCTCACGGCCGCACGTGCTGCTGTGGGGGGAGGGTGAGGGGGTGGCGGAAGCGTGCGGTTCTGGGTGGCGGCTGAACAAAGGGGTGAGGTTTAAGGGGCTGGCTGAAAGGGGGTGTGGTTTAGGGGTGTGGCTGAAAGGGGGTGTGGACTTGGGGGTTCGTAAGAGGGGTTCGCCGCGTGGCTCCCCCCACCTCCTCTCCTCATCCCCCTCTCACCGCCCCTTTGTAAAACGGGGGTTCGTAAGAGGGGTTCGCCGCGTGGCTCCCCCCACCTCCTCTCCTCATCCCTCTCTCCCCCCCCCCCCCCTTGGTAAAACGGGGGTTCATAAGAGGGGTTCGCCGCGTGGCTCCCCCCCCCACCTCCTCTCCTCATCCCTCATTCACCTCCTCCTTGGTTCTTCTCTCCTTCTTCCGCTGCGCACTCTACATGGTGTACCCCTTCAGGGGGCGTAACTACACTTCTTCCTACAAGCAATTATGGGGGCGTGTCAAAATATATTTCATATCTTTTATAACTGCTTGTAGTTGTAGTGTAGGTATTATGTTTTCTAGGTCGTGCACCTTCTTTCCTTGCATGTTCTTTCCTATTTGTACCCTTGCTCAATATTGAATCATCCTCTTTGGCCAAACTTCCTTCGATCCTACCCTCTTTACTCTCGTCTCCTACCTTAGCTATGGCTCCTAAGTTCTGAGCGTATGCTAGCTGTTTTAACATGATGCTGGAAGGGAACTGAGCTCGTTGAAGAGTTAGACTCTGGCTGTACGGAAAACATAGGAGAGGCGTGGAGGCATGCATACGATTAGTTACTACCCATCCACACTTTTCCCCACCATTATACTTTGCTGAAATTCAAGAGATCCAGTCTGGTCGCTTAATGAGGTTCTTAATGGTGCTGGTGCAAGGCTGAATTTGCATGCTGCATAGAGATCAGGTGCATGAGGGAAGGGATGATTTCACAGAGCCTGTCTAATAATTGATGCTGATGGTACGGAGGTGAAAGTTACCTGTGCAGGATCACGATGAACTTTGGAATAAAGAGCCTATAAAGTACATGGAAGCTCTCAAGGGCTGATCCCTTGAGGGTCTCGACTATGGCGTTCCTGCTAATGCTATTGAATGCGTTTGATAGGTCCGCTTGGAGAATTACGGGGTCCTGGTGCAAGCTCATATACGCCCATGCCGTGTGTATTATGGCCTCGCTGCCTCCTTGTACCACGACGCAGAACTGGAGCGGGAGGAAGAAAGTCTGCACTGCTTCTGAGAGTGTCGCTAAGGCGGATTTGGCGGCTAGGCGGTGGAGGCATTCCCCTACTGCTATGGGCCTTGTGCCTCCCTCGGGCTTGGTAAGCGCTATCAGGCGGGACGATGTGAGGAGTGAGCACACCTCTGGTGGGAGGGAGCCACGCATGATGGTATTCGCTAAGGCGTGGAGGTGGGTGTTGACTGAGGCGTTTGTGATTGCAGCATCGCGAAGGTGTTCGAAGGTTATCCCAGATGGCCCACCTCCTACTCCATTTTCACAGCGGTTGATTATCTTGGTGAAGGCGGGTTTTGTGATTTCAGGGAAAGGTGTGGTATCGGGGATGTTCCAGTTGGTGGGAGTCGGTGGTGCTGGTGGGTGTTTTGATTTTAGTGCCTCGAGCACTTCAGGCGATGGTGTGGCGACTGGAGTTGACTCGAGGGCCAGGATTGTGCGCCGCAGACTTCCTTTGCGTGCCAGACCCTCTGCTCTGGCTCTCGTGCCCGTGTTGTCTGCTTCGTGACGTGGTGGTGGCTGGTTGGATATGGCAGCTACGCTGGCCTCATAGAGCGGCCCCCATTCTCCTCTGAGAAATTGGCAAAGCCACAGCTTCACCGCCAGCCAATCAAGTTTCTTCGGAGTCTGCTGGCGAAGAGTTAAGCGTGGGACAAAGAGTAACAGGCGCCAACCCACTACGGAGTTTGGGTTTCGCGCAAGGTGTAGTAGGGGTGTCAGCAGTGCCATGGCGAACTGTGTGCGAATGTCAGCTGGTAATTTTCTTGCCAGCGGAGGCTGACGACTGTCACGGAGGTGGGTCAGGTCCCAATTTCCCACCTCTACGACAAATATTGGTGCGGTCAATATTGATCCTGACAAATTTCTCCCCCCCTGATTGTTGCCGGACACGGTCCGGCGGTGTGTTGCGTTTCCTTGCCTCGACACCCCTGGGGTCTCTCTCCCTTCCTCAGCCGATTCATCTGTAGAGGACTCTACTGCTGGAGGTTGACTCTCTCTCTCTCTCTCTCTCTCTCTCTCTCTCTCTCTCTCTCTCTCTCTCTCTCTCTCTTTCTCTCTCTCTCACTCTCTCTTTCTCTCTTGCTACTCTTCATCCTCGTGGTCTCTCCCCACCTCCCCACGCCCTTCCCCGCACCTCTCCTTCCCTCTCCTCCCGCGTTCCCTCACTCCCCCATCCTCTACTCCCGCGTTCCGGCCCTCCCCCGCGTCGTCCCTCGCCCAATGTCGTTTCCCGCGGCTCATCCCCATGAAGAACTGCCCGCTGAGAATCACGTCCGCGATCTACTTCGCGTTGCGCAGATCCTCCTCCGACGCCACGCCGTACCCGCTCATGTCGTCATCGTCGTCCTCGTTATTGGCCTCCGCGTTACTAACACACTCCGCGGTAATTACAGCCTCATTGGTACGACTACCCTGCTCAGTGTTGCCAAGGATTCTTTCTCTTGATCATCCGTCTTCCGCCGTGCCTCCCCATGTCGCCCCCTCGCCGCTTGCCTCTTCCCGCACCCGAACACGTCGCTGTCTCGTCCGCATTTCCTGCTTCTCCTCGTCCGCTCAATCCACCCCTCCCCACGCCTCACCATTCCAATCCTCTTCCCGAACCTTATCCCAAACCCTTCCCCGTCCCTCCTCCCTTCTGTCATTGAAATTCCCTCTTATTTTCGCCTCCTCCCTCTCTGCTTCCGTCGCGTCATAGCTTACAGGAAAACCCCCCACACTTTCCTCCCCGCCAGCCGCTCTCTCGCC